AAGTAAGGATATTCCAAATGGAAAAGCCAATGTACAATCTAGAATGCTCAGACAAAGAGATTTCTAATGATATGAGATTTGTTCCAGACAGACAAATGCAACTTCAGTTTTGCTGCCACATGATGCACAAGTTCACTAACTCTTATTTTTTCATATCTGTAACTTCAGTAGTTATTCACATATACTAAACTTCTATGTATAGACAGAAACTAGGTTAATTCCTCTCTTTACACATTCCTTAAGGTCAATTCCTTGCTTCCACAGGAAATAAATTTTACTAACTCCTGACAGATGCCATGCCCACCTTCTAGGCTTAAGAATGGATCTGAAAGCCAACCCCTATTTATGTGACTACATGTTTATAACCAATAGAAAATACTATTTTGCTATGTTATACTGTCAGTCTTCCTGAATTATTGATGTGAGGAACATCATTATACCATTGGAGGGTTGGAAAAGTTATGATCAATCTAATAGTCTGAACTGAAACAAACTTTTTAATCCTTCATATAGCTTAATTAGAGAGCCAGCTACATTAAAGTTTTTTTTGTGGTATCAACCTATTAACTTTTTGGTATTTCAAAATGCACATATAAAATCTATGAAAATTAATTTGCCTATCCTCTCCTTGCGAGAGAATGAACTAGGGTTACCAGTGCACGAGTGCAAGAACATTTTGCTGAAGGCTAAAGTATCTCTTTCGGTGATATAGTAATATTGTCCACAGAAGCCTGTTAATATGTGTCAAGAATAATAATTAATAATAATAATGAACACTAAAGGACAATAAAGAAAAAAGAAAGCTTCAAAAATAAACTATACCTGATAATGTAAAGATGTGCAATTATGAATATAATCAAAAGATGATCTTTTAGGATTATTCGACAAAAAATTAAAAGGTATGTACATTTTTCCATTTCTTAATTTCAAACATTTCATTGTACTATACATTGATGATAATAGCTAGTTAGTAATATGGTAAAGAAAATAAAAAATGCACAACATTTACCTCAAAAAACACTTTTAATACTCAATTAGGAGTTTCTTTTTTTTTCAAACTTAACATGAAAATCACCTTGTACTGGAACTATTCAGTCTAAATGCAAATAACTACAATAAGTAACAAATTTTAGTAGGAATACTTAATTAAAATAATCATATTCTTTGTGTACAAAATACTTGTAATCTTTAACAAAATCTTACCAACTGTTGTGAAGATACATTAAGAAAGCAGAGTTATTGTAAATATTGTTGAACTGTGTATCATTCTCCATACAAGCAAGTACCCAACTGGTATAGCCCATAAGCTCAAAGTTAAGTTACTTAGGATAAACACTT